ATTTTTCACATAAATCAATTTTCATGCAAATTGAAAACAATTTTCATGTGAAAAATTTGATACTCTGATCCTATTTGAAAGGTGCTTCGTGTTTACCATCGAAATAGTCGATAAATAAAGCGCATGTATAGGACAGACCTAACAATGTTTGACGGTTAAAACCAAACTGTCCCATTACACTAGCTAGTAATTTGATTATTGGAGAGAATGTTCAATCTAACTACATATGTCAGAGTTCATCCTGTCATTAGTTGTACTTTAAACTTTTTTCAGTTTTTTTTAAGTAATCACATAATTTATATACTTTTTACCACATGACTATATATATATATATATATATATATATATATAACTTCATCTACCCACACAATAGACTTACCAAGGTGGATTCGCCAATTTACCGTATTTGGAAGCACATGCTGGAGCTACTTACTGTGCAGTAGCCAGTTTGTCTCTTATCGATAAGTTAGAATCAGTTATTCCTGCTGGATCCAAGTCACGCAATTTATTAATTAAATGGCTACTGAATTTACAAGAAGAAGGATTTCATGGGCGTGTTGGTAAACCAGATGACACATGTTACACATTTTGGGTCTGTGCTAGTCTTAAAGTAAGTCGATTTTTTTAATACTCATTTTCACATTCTATTTTATTTATTTATTTAAACACATAAATATTGGTACAATGAAGCACAAGATAAATATGCGCCTCACAAATCTCATTCGATTTGTGTGAGGGCTGTGATACTGCCCAGGTGCCCAGACTGAAGCAGGTGGTTTTCTTAGGGGGCCACACCCGGAGCCTTTGACCTGAATGTCTGATCCACAAGGCAGTGGAGCATCGTGAGGAGATGCAGTCCCATGGTAGCCGTTGACCAATGACAGGTTCATACGCCATTCGTTCCATCAGGATACTGGAGCCCATGTGCACCATTGGTTTGGAATCAGGGTTTTCCAACTCCCCTAGGTGGACTCGCCTTGTCCACCAACCCGGTTAAAGCGCCGGACATTCGCTTTTCGTCCTCTCACTTTCGTAAACAACACCCCCGCCACGAGAAGGCAGTGAGTAGGACTTCCCTGACAGGCTATATATTCGCTGGCCATATGAGAGTATTTCGAGAGGGAGAGGGGACTCTCCCCACTCTCGACCGTACCAGGGCATTTGGGGGCATAAGTCTACTCCTACCACTATGGGATTTGAATCGACGACTGCATCTCTGTGCTAATGTGGTGTGGTAACTCGAAATGATGTACGTACGTACGAAGTTCTACGTTGTGACTGACTAAATACTCATTTTCACAAACTTTTCGCCGTAATCCTATGGAATTCTGTTGATTACATTTTGATGCATGTATAATAGTTATACAAGCGCCCATCTTCTATAATTCTTTACATCTTTATTCTCTTATGTTGGGATTGTGTGGTTCATGAAAGTGCTATTATCTTACCACTTTGTTGTTCAGTCTTATATTATTTCGATGATAGGTCATTTTTCAAAATTATTTTGTGGAACAGTTCATCAAAAAAACGAATTCAATGTGCGTTTGTATATATTCGCTTATCATGCTGCCAAAACTTAGACAGGTAATGCGATTCGCCGAAGTGCAACTGTTTGTGCGTTAAAAGTACAACAATCAATATTGCTTAGAACTCATATGCAATACAAGATCAATTTATGTTTGAAAGTGATGTAACGTGTGGATTACAATATTTTCCTCTGTTACACGTATGTTGTGATAATACGCTTATAAGACTAATCATGTTATGAGAACCAGGATTCGCAACCCAAAAATAGAGAACCAGATTAACACTAGATAATACTTTATTCAATACACTTACAAGCAGTCACACACAGTGAGTCGAGTAAATATCAATGATTGAAAGGAAAACCATATATTTAATAGCCTGTAGGCTGTGGAATTTTGTCCACAATCAACGACTAATCATACTTTACTTCCACCAGCACACGTCAGAAAGTATAAAGTTAAAAGTCATTTATGAGATAATAAGTACAAATAAAAAAGTGTTTTGTTATTGACAAGCTAGTAACGAAATATGTTGTAAATATTTCATAAGTTAATACATTCCTAACGAGAATCTAGTCGCAGTACTCTAGGTTGCTCATTTTCAAGCATAATATGAAACTTTCTTAGAGAGGACGTGTTTAAAAGTTTATCCGCGACTGTCTGATTACAGAATGAGAACTCACTAGTTGTTGACTCTTTCAACAACAAGTGACTTAAGATCCTGCTGAACTGCAATTAGTGTTACGTACGTAAACCACCATTCTCTATATATAGCTGAAATTTTTAACAAAGTATTTTGCTCGAAGTTTCGTATAGCATGCTTGATTGTACGAATAGCCAGTGAGTTTAAGGTTACGTCACATATCGATATCGCCTGTAAATGCATTCAGTAATAAAAATTTCCCAGTGAATCCTATTGCTGTAGGTTAGCATAATTTGAACCAGGTGAATTTATCAACCTCAATGTTTTAAATCATTTCTTTAATAGATATTAAACTGTCACCATCTCGTCGATAAGAACTCAGCTGTTCGTTTTGTAACAAGATGTTGGAATGATGTTATTGGGGCCTTTACAAAGACTCCTGACCAGTTTTGTACCCCAGGTAAAAACATAGTTGTTTTTATACCCTATCCAGTGCAACTTATTAAATTCCTTACTAAGTGTTTTTTTCTTTCTCAAGGTGGTTGTCTTCTCTGCATATTTGGAGCATAATTTCCAAATTTAAACCACACAAAAGAGACACACGAGAAACGGTATCTCTACAATTACGACTTCTCGTTTTATTTTGCGTTGTTACGAACCGTCCACAGTAGTGGGGACCGTAACACAAATTAGTTGCTGATTCATGACCCGACATTTGAAATGCACTTGACCTGTAGTTAGTTTAGAATTTGTCCACATTACCACACATATTGTCAGGTGACTGGCAGTCAAATAGTCATAAGTCCCCACTTTCTGAATATAATTTATTTTTATACTCCCTTAGTAAAATTGGTTTCATCAATCTTGAAATTGATAAATTTCTGCACTACACAGTTTTGTGATGTGTTGTTTATTTGTTAGTAACTGTAAATTCTTTAGTGGCAATACTAAACAACAACGTTTATCACAAAATGCATCATTATGAATCTTAAGTCAGGGAACATAATGTTGATTGTCCGGTAGTTAGCCTATGCTATCTTCTAATAAACAGCAGTGTAAAGTGCTGTCGTTCCCAATAGCGCAGATGTACTCATTCTTGATCTTGAATTTCAGTATCTATTCACACAGACCTACTTCATTTGTCCAAACCATATTCTCAATGCTTAATCTTTCTTATCACTGATTGCTTCGATATACTTAAATATTCATCGTGTTATTTCTATCTCACATAGCTAATATGCCATGGCAACATAAAACAACGTACATCTTTTTAAGTTCTATGTCGATATTTGTTTGACAAAATTTAGTGTTTCTACAGATATTTACTTGTAAAAATCATGAAGTTTCTTCTAAAGAATATAATTTCATAAGAATATACTTAATATATTTACTTTTGGTAATTTATAGCATACTGTTTATTTGTAATTTCTTTGTTTATTTTAGATCCACTACATACTTACCTTTCTCTTTCTGGCTTATCATGTTTATGTGCAAGTGACAATTCAACAACTGGACACGATGTAAAATCAATAGATTCCGAATCATACGTGTATCGTAACCTACAAGAGTTACTAAATTCAGGCGAACTTCTTACTGTTTATCCAGAGTTAAATATTCCCGAAAAATATCATCAGCGTCTGAAACAGATTCATCTTCAGTGGAGTAAAAAAGAAGCACATCACTTGTAATGTGATTTTTTGCGAAATCAAGTTTCAGCTAGTGCTAAACCACTATACAATCGAAATATTTTTATTGTATTTTTCTTTCTTAATAAATGTTATTTGAAATTACTTTGTGTACTGAAGTATTATCTGTACGCGAAATGTTGATTTTGCATGCATGTTATGTGTATGGTTTGGGATTATTCTACTAATTCAACATCCGTTAGCAATAGTTCGCACAGTGAAATTCTTGTATCATTAAGCTATAGTACCTTTACATAATATACTGGTCATGTAACTGTTATGCTTATATTCGTCAATCCCATTTCTTTGCTAATCTGATGTTAGCTAAGAGTATCCGTGATCAGTTAACTTCTGTTTGTTAGCTTCATGTGACTATTCCCTCATCAAACCAGGTAATTCGTTTGTCCGCAAAGCGTCCACTAAGATGGGATTTTCTAGTCTTGAATTTTGGGAAAACGTTGACATGGGATACCAATGTTCAAGTCGAAACATCAGTGAATATAGTTTTACGTCAGGTGAACTCTAATAATTGCGCCATATGAATAAGACATGGGATAATTAGAAGATATGCTTAGCTTATAAACAAATGTAAATACAGGTTTCACCCACCTAGTTAGTTCATTAGTATTCCAGAATCTTTCAGGTTTTTCTCATACTGCTTACAAAACTCGTCTAAAAGTTTTATTTATTTAAACACAATAATATTGGTACAAGGGGGCACCAGATACATATGCGCCACACAGATCTCATGTGATTTGTGTGAGGGCTGTGATACTGCCCAGGTGCCCAAACTGAAGCAGGTGGTTTTCTTGGGGGGCCACACCCGAAGCCTTTGACCTAAAGGTCTGATCCATAAGGCAGTGGAGTATCGTGAAAAGATGCAGTCCCATGGTAGCCGGAGACCAACGATTAATTCATACGCCATTTGTTCCTTCGGAATACCGGAGCCCATGCTCACCATTAGTTTGAAATCAGGGTTTCCCGACTCCCCTAGATGGACTTTCCGTGTGCACTGGCCCGGTTAAAGCGCCGGACATTCGATTTTCGTACTCTTAATTTTGGAAACAACACCCACGCCACAAGAAGGCAGTGAGTATGACTTCCCTGGCAGGTTATCTGACTCAGTTATTTCACTGGTATATTTCCCAGATATCTTACATTTTGTACAACTATGCAATACAAACCAGAAATCGTAGATATACTGATTATTTCGATCACCTTTGATAACTCAATATACATTAATTATATGAATAGTACATCATTCATTAAATGAGTACACAATTTGTATTAAAAATCATCCGTTCACTTACAAGCTTTAATCACTATAAAACTTCTATTCATTTTGTTTTGTTTTATACACATGTCATGAAGTGAGTGTACATGGGTTTATTACGTAAAATGAATTTCAATCATTCTACTATATCCAATTGGTTAATACGTCCATGGAGACGAAACTATTTTTCAAATACTGATTCTGAACCAGAACCGCCACACCGTTCCGATTGTTGTGAATCTGGATGCGCAAACTGTGTGTGGGTTGAATATGCAGAAAACCTATTTAAGTACCACATAAAGAGAATCAAGGAGTCAAATGATAACACCAGTTTTAAGGATAAAGGCAAGGTTTTTGGTGAAATGGTAAACAAGCTTCAGAAAGAGATTAATCAGATTGAAGATCAAAATTTGAGGATATTTTTATTAACAGAAATAGAAATAAAACGGGAGAAACTACTAGAAGCACTTCAAGAAGATACATAAAGATGCGAACACTAGATGTTTTCTTTAGATAATATCTTATTTATTATTTAATGATTTAGTCAAGTGTTTCAATATATACTTATAAAAACATTTTTTGGTACAATACAGAATTACAATATGTAAGATGAGACCTTGGACGAAACAAAAGAGATGATCATGTAATTGGGAAATGAAAAAGAAAAGTTATTACTTAAATGTATACCTCTTCTAAGAAAAAAACCCAGGACAGATTACTTTCCCATCAGGAAAGTGCATCTGACTTTATAAAGGTTATGTATAGTTACAGCCGGATCACTATTATCTTTTTTGGACCATCCCTAATAAAATCGCAAGACAGTGAGTTACCTAGTTTTCGGGGCCCATCGCAGTTTCGGTGGATTGGTACATGGGACTTTTATAAAGCTATATTTTATTACACGGCGAATTATCATTAGTCGGTTACTGCCGATTTCTGAACTCAATTGAGGAATCTTTAAAAGGTACGTGACGCTGAATCCATTGAGATGACATTCATATAGCTTATCCGCGTAGCCTAAACCGACGCTTCAAGATCGTTTTACCACTACATTTATCTTCATTCGTCTGAACACATTGTAGGACTTCGAGATTACTCATATAGTGTCCCTACCGAATGTGAACAATCTTTCAGACTAATGATCTAGGGTCATGTTCCATTAACATGAAGCAGAGATGGTCTCACAGAAACTATTACCGACATTCTACGACCGAAATTTATAAAAGCTCTTCTGGGTTTCGTAACACTAAACTTGAGCGATCGTGCCATCTGGTTTCACATCCTGACTTATGTAAAAGGATCTTTACCGATATGAAAACAGTAAGATTTACTTGAAAAAGGCTGTAAACACACGTCCGTACGAGGTTTTCAAGAGGAAAAGCGCTTTTTCTACTCTCCAATATGTCAAGACAATTGGGGTCTAATATATAAATCAGAAAGAAGCTTAGTACAGAGATCCAACGTTCTTTATCTGAAGTATGATATTCTTGTTTTGGTCACATGCGTACTCGTCACTTATAGTGTACATTTAAACGGGATAATGAGAAATGTCAATCTTTGGTATAAAGTACTTGTAAGCAATAGTCAGACCACCGACAACTGAGATTAAAAGATCTGCTACAGCGATTGGCATGATAATTAAGTTAATAAAAAGCAAAAACAACTAGACCAGACATCCTATTGGCTTAGAAAATCATCACATGTTGGTCTAAGGTGTGTCAGGTGCTACCTGCTTGATGATCAAAGTCTACGGTTGATGGTTTCCCGTTACATAAGGCAAAATGTATGGTGTGCATGTTAAACCAATAACAAGTATCAAGCAAAAACTTACAACAAAGTACTTTTCAATATCTGCGATATTTTGTACGTTTTATAATTTAATCATTTAGCAACTGTAATTGTACTGAGTCATATTTCTTACTTATGATTTTAATAAGACCGTACAGAACATCTTAATTGAGCTATATACGTAACTTAAGTCTTAGATTGCCCTCATCAAATATATACACATGTATTAGTCCGAAACAACTTACTCAAAAAATTGTGAAGGGGAATAGAAATCTCAGCACTTTCATCTTTGATGTATATGCTCAAAAGATTACTTCTGTCTAGTACGTGATCATCCCATTGGTATTTGGTTGTTTAGCCTTATCAGTTATGGAGAAATATTGAATTATGTATAAAATAATTCGCAAGAAGTACATTGAGAAAGAATACAAATGTTTGATGCAAAAAAAGACAAAAAATAGTTTCAAACTGCTCGAACAAACGAAGCATAAGTTCATTGTATTGACTAAAATCTAGTTTAATACTTACATATAAATGCTTTATGTAGAAGAAAAGTCACTCAAATTAAGAAATTATGCACAAAATCTTAATCGACTAAAGTTTAGATGATAATTTTGCGTGTTCTATGAAGTCTAGAGATTGAAAAAGCATTGCTGTTCAAGAGATTAGGTAATCAAGCTGTACATACATTTTCAATGTTGGAAAATTAATAACAAGATATTTATCAATCCTTATTTAAAATACACAATTTGTGATGCTGTATAAGAACAATTATCACATCCATTGTTCAGATGGCATCATGGCAATATCTAACACACGCCATGCAGCTAATGGATTCATTTCACTTTGATCACGACACAAAGCCCAAACATTAGTCACACGTAGTACTTTATTTGGATCACCTTCATGCAAATTTCCGTTTTTATCAAGAATACAATTTATTTGTTGTGCTTGGAATGTGATTATCAGCACTGGTCCTTGCTCCATCATTTTGCCCATTTGAACCTAGAATCAACACGATGAAAACTATGCAAATTTTCAAATCACAAAATTATGAATTTCCAAAATTGTAACGCCTTAGTACCATATACGGCACATAAACCAGTGAGGATTTTAATTACCTAAATGATTGTCTTTCAGCTTTTATAAGACAACAAATGACCTAATCAATATGACAGAACCAAAAGACCAAAATTAGGTCAGAATGATATCGCAAATGTGTTGACATGGTAAACTGTTGAATTAGAACAACGTATATAAGCGAACAATATTGTTTTCTATTAGATTCTCATCAGGCTTTACTCTAATATAAAGTAATATTTATATGCATATACGAAATTATTAAACCAATCAAGACAGTTTATGAGTCAATGATAACAGCGGAATAGATTACATAACTAAAAATAATAATAAGTGAAAAGTACAAATTGGTAGTGTAATGACAGGTGTACTAGTTGTGATAAGAATAATAAAGGCTTGAATGAATGTTACATAATAGGAAATAGGTCAACTATTGATTAACTAATGGTAAATGTTACTCAGTCAAATTAAAATATCTAATTGTTAATCTGACTATACAAATTGATACATAATAGATAGAATGTGGTTTGCAATGCACTTCGTCCTATATGGGACTCGTCAGCTAGATGTAACTGCACCTGAGTGGAAGTTCAAACTGCGACTTTGACACGGTGCCATTCGCTTCGAACGCCATCATGTTATCTAATTATCAACCGAATCCAGACAGTCATTCATACAACGGATACGAAACTCAATTCAATTTGAAGTGATCTAGATTATCCTGTTGTTTATAGTTTCGACTGAGATTTGATCAGTCTTGGTTGACTGTACAAAGATCATATAGAAAGTAGTGTATGTATGCTTCATTATGGGAGTCAAATAAAAATTAATGCCCATTTTTGGTTTTCACTACGCATCGTTGGACTCAGGGTCTCAGTATCAGGCTCAAGTTAGTTCAACATGTGGAGATAGAACCTTAAAAACCTATTTTGTAAATAATTTTTCATAGTTTTCGCATGTATTTTCATATTCTGTACATTAAGCATTAAACAATTGTACTTGTTGTTTAACTGTATTACTTTGAACGCTTGTAACACTCCTTCCTTCCGTTTTGAGTACAACATACCGTGCCACTGTTAATTCTCCTCAACAAATACACTCTAATTCACGTCTGCATCGTTCTGCCCTGTCTGCTAATATGTTGAATGAAATATTAATTGCATACCATCTACGTTTATAGACAATTGCGACATTCTTATTGAATTCTACGCTTGGTAAAACTACTGGATCTATATCGTCCATATTGGGATTATTAATTTTGTTATAATTGTGGAGTATCTGGACCAAACCCAGCCGAACACGCAATAGCCTGAAGACTTAAGTAACGTCCCTTATTTTGTTATTTTTGTGTGTAATTACTTATTAACTCTTAATTGTTACATAAACTATAGACATAATATTTTTGTTGCTAAATTTTTTGGTTATCAAACATTTTGGTCCACCACAAACACTCCACAGTCACATAACAGTAACAGAAATAACACTAGTCATAAGTACATTTTCAACAGTTATCGCCGGTAAAAAGAAAGGCACTAAACTTCATTTCCCTGTATAACCAGGAATAAGAATGAAAAACCCATTTCGTGCAAGTGTATGTAAGTTTAAAACTTGGAAATTATGCGAATTCTATTAATAATTTAATTTAAACATGATCGAACAGTCCACATACCGTTTTTATCAAACAAATAAGTAATGAATTACATAACATGAATTACCGTTTGCGACAAATAATATAAAATTAAGATAAGGGGTAAAAAATGAACTCACATCAACATTATGTACATCCAATATGCGAGATTCAGAAATATACCCAAGTTCTTTCATCTGTTTTAAAGGTGTTGCCAGAACATTATACGGCTATTAAAACAATAATTATATTAGAAGAACCAGAAAACATACCGCTTCATGACACCAATCGTGGAGAATACGTAAGTCTCCCCTTACTATAGCCTAAATATAGAGAAAAAACTAATAATAAAAAGGTCTCGAGCAAGAAATATATTCTCCACGAGAGCTTAGAAAACTTTTTAGATAACCAAAAGATAACAGAACAATGAGTTTACACGAAGGTTAAAAGTTTTGAATATCACATGGGTAAGATACTTTACTCGCAAAGACGAACATGACTATGCTATAGTAGAAATATTTCTGAAAAAATATATATTTAAAATGAAATATGTGAGAGCGATAATATTTATAATTACTGCATTATGTAACATGAGAAGAGGGGTAGACTATAAGTGCAATAATGAATACATTTTTTGTTATATCCCAATAAGTAGAAAAATTGTATTTCTGAAGTTTTGTGACTTAATGTAAACCACTTCTGAAGAAGCGGGATATGACAAAAAATATACTATTAACTTTCTACCCAATGTTCAATTTATTTAGAACTATCAAGTCCGACCTTGGCATTGATACCTATAATCTAATTTATAAGCGCAGTATTTATAAAAAATACCTAGTGGATTATAAGTCATCATGTAGTCATTTCAGGGTGCTAACTATGTGTGTAATCATAATAGAGATACCAGTATTATAAGTGTATGCAGTTTACAACCACATAAAATGGGCTATTTGGAAGTTCGGAGTAGTTTATAAATCAAATACTTTGATACTTGATATGTATGTAATTATGCCTAGGACTGTCTATTTCCCTATTAGTTGACTGTCTTTATGAGACATAGTTACAGAAATCATATAAACATGATATTTTGCTGCAAAATGTGGAATATGGTAAACCAAAACTGGCAAATAATTTGAACGGGTTGTTTGGAAGCTACATTCTCCTAAAGTGTACACATATTGGTTCAACGAACAGAATCTGACCAACCAGAAAAGAAATATGAGTGGAGAAACGTAATTGTAAAGTAAGACGTATATCTATGCATGTGTGAAGGAGATAATAGCTGAATAACTAATATTTAAGTGAGTTTCTAATGAAGTTAAACTGCATCAGGGAATAATAATGGTAGAACTGCTATTAACTTAACTATAGGTTGAAAAAGATAAACATAGCCCAGTTGTATTCATTTTTTATCAAGAATTTAGACTGGTTTTAAAAGATGGGAACGAGCTTCTGTAACTTAGTAACGTTCTGCATAAGTACAAATAAATATACATCTGCACAGTGTGAAAAAAAAACATGAAAATGGAACAATAAGTGAAAGGATAGTTTCCGTTTGTTTTTAAGCTAATATAGGAAATGAGTAAGAATATGCCACAAATCGTAACATGCGATTTCTGAAAACATAAAAGTTCCTCCTCATATGGACAAGAATAATAACAACCCTTTTAGGTGGCTTAACTGTTTTTGGTGCTAGACTGTTACACTAAGGTACATCGAAAGATTCAGTTTACGGATGGGTAGTATATGTAATAGTATCAATAATGAAACTCCTAAATTACTAAGACCTTTAATGAAACTATATATTAGTCAAGTAGACCCGATTGAACCAGCCAAAATATATAAGACATTCTACAAGATTAACTGAACACCTAGGATCTCGTGGGTATAATATATTTCTATTTTTTGTGAATTAAATGCCATAAGAGCTGTCGACTTGCAAAGAATAAATCCGCATGTTTAAGGATGAAAATAAATAGTAATGTGTAGTTTCAAATTAAATGAAATTAATTTTATTTGTATACTAATTTATTCTCATTTTCATAAATCCCTAATTCTTGTTGTGAGTAAATAATTTTTTTTTTGGTTTCTTTAAATGAATATAAACTTTTTTGTGCAGAGCAATTATTACTCTTTAACACTGTAACAAGTATTTTGGAATAATAACATTACCTTAATAATGATCACTTGAAACTTAAAAAATTATGATAAGCAGTTTGTCATATTTTAACACAATACATTTTAGATGTACTGTACATACCTCAAGTACATTCGGAATAACGATAAATCGGCAATAACGTATAAATGACTCCAAATTAAAAGAAGGATCCATTTTTATTATTTCATCTAGCACCTGTTGTAAATCATTTGTTGATTTCAGGCCACCTATGAAAAAGCAGTTTAGAATAATCATCATAACAAACACCCATAGTTATAAGCGTTTTCAGTGATACGTATTATACTGGTGAATTGTAAATAATTACACAAAGAGGTCTAGAGTTCCTTGAAGCTAAGTGTATGGTTAGGACTTTGAGTTATGAATGTTGTCTTATCATATTGACTTTTCTCCGCGCTAAAATCGTGATTCTTATGGCTTAAGGGCATGCAACTATTTTTTAATTGCGGCGTATATAACTCCATAAAATTGGACAGGTCTCGTCGCTTGTGTATTTTGTGACTACAGAGCGAGCAATACTGAGGTACTATGTAAAGATAGCGAGCTGGCTGATGGAGTAATAAATCTTCACCAATTGAAGTGGTTGAGACATGAGTTATGTATTCTCAACCGTTGACTTTTTTGACGGGTAATGTTGTCAGTTGTAGACTGAAAGGTGGAGACGGCAAAACAAAAGCTTAGCCTCAATGTTTGAAGTCATTAATTGTTGGCCTGAGCCTTTTTAATAAGAGTAAACTACACGGTTAGGGTCCGCGTGATTATGTTAACCAATGATCAGAGACTTTAGATGACATGACCCAGAATCGTTCGCAATGGCGCAGGTGCGTCCACTTTGTCTTCCTTTCGAATCTGAATATCAAAATCTCCTTATACCCTTCTTTTTTTCTATACCTAATAATTTCTATTACTACTGATACTGTTACTATTTCTACTACACAGGGATTTATCGTGCTGTGCTAATGTGATGTGCGAACTTGAGTGGATGCACATGTGTTAGGTTTTACTTTGGATGGCTGACTGAATGATCTGCGTTAAACAAGCAATAGAAATTAGTATGACGACTGTGACTATTCATGATTCGTAATTTTGAATGGATTATCCCGTAACTTAAAATCAGATTGAACACTGGTTAAATAAGACTCATCAAGGAGCTAAAAAGAAGATGTAAACTCATGCATGTATATTAAAACTAAGTTAACAACGTTTTTTGTTAGTTGAAAAGATGTGTCCTCTCTCAAAGAAACAGACCGTAAATCATGACTACAGAACTTCGACATTATTGTTTATACCATCACAAAAAGTCGTTGGGTAGACAATTTAGGAAAATGTATCACGTAATATTACATTGTAAGGTGGAAAATGTACAGTGGTCGACAAGTCGAAAGACTTGTTCGCTAAACATATTTATTACGTACTAAATGTCTACAATATATTAAATAGGAATAATATATTTGTAAAATCTCAGCGAATGAATTTTTTTAAATTAAATCCAACGTTTCGCCTGGCAATCTGGTCCAAGCTTTTTCAAGATAATTCCTTGAAAAAGCTTGGACCAGATTGCCAGGCGAAACGTTGGATTTAATTTAAAAAATTCATTCGCTGAGATTTTACAAATATATTATTCCTATTTAATGTCTTACTTCAACTCGGCGCTCAAATACTGTGAAACTATTCGTTCTAATTTAGACGAGAGTTCTTATATATTGTCTACAATATATGTTTGTAAGATAAATATGGTTTATAACTTACCGAATAGGTTTGATAGTCTATCAGTTACAAATCGTAATGACCGAATGACTAAATGATCACTCTCTTCATAGTGAGCTTTCAGGTCAAAAAATCCTAAAATTAATTCAAAACATTTAAATATTTCATCTAAAATATAAGATCATGTTTTTAATCAACTATGCTAGTTGTCTCAGATGTTCTTGGTGTGACAACAAAAAAGAAACAGATTTCGTATATTGTATTAGGGTCTGGGTGATCAGACCATCATTACAAGAGCAGTTGTATGGTCTAGTTCGAGTATTGATTGTTTCGTTGGCTACATAGAAGTCCTGGCATTCCGCTAACCATTGACACGATAATAATGAGATGACAGACGAAATCAATACTTAAAGACTATTGATGCAGGATACAAATCGTCTACATTTGCTTACCCGATAACCAGAATAGAATAGAATACAACAGATAGATAGCTTCTATTTGTACAGTTCCGAAGGTTCAACTTCGCTTAGTATTTGCCCCATTATAGCAGCTCTACGCCCGAAATATATGCATAATATTAACTAGAATTTAAAAGTAACTACAAAAAAATTATATCAGTCAGTTTCAACGTAGAACTTCGTACGTACGTACATCAGTTCGAGTTGCCATACCACGTTAGCACAGAGATGAAGTTATCGATTCAAATCCCATATTGGTAGAAGTAGTAAGAGTATAAGTATTATGTGAAAGATAAGGGATTGAAGATGTTATTGAAGGAGTATAATACGGTGAAATAAATTCGGAAAGAGAAAAAGGATACGGGTATGAAGAATTCAGAAGATTAGAATTTGGTAGAACACAAAGAGTGTATGCACCTTCGCCATTGCAAACGATTTTGAGCCATGTCATTCAAGGTCTCTAACCATCGGTTGCTATCATCTCGCGAATCCCAACCAGGTAGTCTACACCTACCAACACAGCCCAGTCCACTTGTCAGCGACTTCATTGATTTGTGCCATGTTTTGGTCTGGCCGCCCCTAGCTTTCTTCCAACCTACTCCTACACCATGAAACATTGCACGTCGGGCAGTCGGTGGTCGGGCATACGTAACACATGTCCCAGCCATCTCAACTGATGAAGTTTCACTACTTCATCAATCGATTTGCCATCCCTACCTAGTACTCGTTTCCTAACAACTGCATTACTTACCCGGTGGTCCCAGGATATACGAGCAATGCTTCGAAGACACCTATGATCGAATACTAGTAGCCTACGAATATCCTCTACTCTTATCGGCCATGTTTCACTGCCATAAAGTAGGACGGAGTGAACTGCTGCACAGTAAACCCGTCCTTTTGTTGCTAGACGGATATATCGCCTACGCCATAAATGGCGCATATTGCTGAAAGCTAGACGAGCCTTCTGTATCCGTGCTGAGATTTCGTCACATACCAGACCACAAGGGCTGATGAGACTCCCAAGATAAGTGAAGTGGTCTACACGCTCAACTACTTCACTCCCTATCATTAGTTCAGGTGTCGCTGCAACCCAATCCTGAAGTAACATTTTGCACTTCGAGGGAGAGAATCGCATCCCGAACATGCCTGCATCGTTGCTTATAGTGGTCAGAAGACTCTGCATGTTGTCAGCGTCTTCACCGAGTAAAACTATGTCGTCGGCGTATTATAAGTCAACAAGTGAGTTCTCCCGGTAAAAGTTCAACTCCAGGAGATTGAGATGATGAAAGTGATATCTCTAAAAGCATGTCAACTACAAAGTTAAACAAGAATGGGGAGAGTGGACAGCCCTGACGAACGCCACTTGAGGTAACCAATTGTGATGACAGTTCGCCATAGGCTCTAACTCAACCAGTTGTGTTCGAGTAGAGAGCCTTTATGAGGTTAATGTACTTCTTTGGTACTCCTTTCAGTGACAAACATTGCCATAGAACCTCACGATCAACGGAGTCAAATGCCGCCTTAAGGTCAAGAAATACTACTATTGTGGGACATCTGAATGTATGTCTATGTTCTAGAACCTGACGTAGAGTTAATATCTGGTCTATGCAACCACATCCAGGTCGAAAACCAGCCTGGTTTTCTCTAGTCTGCTCTTCACGAGCTTTGGTTAGGCGACCTAGTATTATTGAAGCTAATATTTTAGACACTATATTAGTCAAACTGATCCCTCTGTGATTGTCACAAGAGGACTTTTGTCCTTTCTTATAGACTGGCACAATCAGTGATTGGGACCAGTCAGATGGAATTGCGTCCAGTTCCCAGATCCTACCTAAGACCTCAGTCAATCTCACTGCTAGTACTGGACCACCATCCTTAAAAATCTCAGGGGTCAACCTGTCAGGGCCTGCGGCTATTTAGATTTCCTATAGCTTTTTCAACCTCGGAGAGAGTTGGAGGATTTACCTCAATTTGCCATTCAGGACGGCTGGGGATCGTGAGTAACTGCAGTGTGGCTGAAGGCCAGTTGAACTGATCCCTAAAGTGTTCTGCCCATCGATCCAATCTCCTGGATTGAGAATGAATGGTATGCCCATCTTTATCTGAGATGGTTTCACTGATATTCGGGCTCCTAATACCGGTTTCTTTAACGAGTCTGAATAGCTGCCTACTGTTACCTATTGCCGCTGCCTTTTCCATCTCTTTTGCTTTCGCTACCCACCACTGTTCACGATCATTACGTAGGCTTCTTATAAGCCTGCGCTTAAGTTGACTCCGCTCTTCGTTATGTTCAGAGCCAGGTGGGATGAGTTTTCGAGCATCTATCAGTGTGGTAGATGCTGCTGAGATCCATTGTTTCTCCCTGACCTTATGGCTTACCTTACTAGCGGATATCACTGCTGTTTCCACAGCTTTACGGATGTCATTCCACGCTGCTTCGGGGTGGGCACAACTTACATGTCTGTCTAACTGTTTTTCCAGTTGTTCCTGAAATATATTCTTAGCTTGCCTACCATTAAGTAGAACCCTTAGAGGTTTCCCTGCAGTGTCTTTCCTACGTCTAGTATGACGCAGACAGATACGTGCTCGCACTAGAACATGATCTGAGTCTAAACATGTGCCCCAGAATGAGCGAGAGTCTTCTACCGAGCCCCTCCATCGGTGGCTGATAGCGATGTGATCTAATTGGGTCCAACGTTGGGACGAATTCGGGGGTCGCCATGTCAAAAGATGTTTTTCCTTATGCTTAAAGTTAGTATTTGCAAGAAATAGGCGGTTATCTGAGCACAGCTGCAACAGACGGTCGTCATTATCTGTTCTTTTCGCCATGACACCATAAGATCCACCCAGGTGTCTTTCCCTTTCACTTAGTTTACCTACTTGAGCATTAAAGTCACTAACCACTATTACTACATCAGAACGCCTAGCTTTTCGGAGGTCAGAAAGTTTCCTGTAAAACTCATCTTTTATATCATCTGAGCTGCAGTCAGTGGGAGAGTAGGCAGAGATGACGAAGAGGCAACGACGAGTTTCCCTATCTTTCCGAGTCCTTACTGATCCGTTTAGTCGGACAGCGCATAGACGACTGTCTACTGGTATCCAGTCTAAAAGAGATAGTTCTGCCCTAGGACTTAATGCTATACCTACTCCATCGAGGCCACGGGAAGCAGCGTCAGGGCTTCCAGATACACGAAGCGTGTATCGAGATGAAACTTTATTTTGATTAGGTGCGGTCAAATGAATGACACTACTCGGATTTTGTATGCGCGTTTCGGAGACGCAGCACACATCAATGGTGTAAGATTCTAGAGTCCTAGCTAAGGAAGCCTGTTGTCCTATTTGGCACAATGTTCGGACATTAAAAGTCCCTATATGTCGTTTAGAGCGTGGTTTCAGGAGACCAGGAATAACGTTCCGTGTACTTGAACCGTTTGCCCTAGCGGTGCGAGGTGATAAAAGGACGTGGGAAGGGTTAGTCGTGGAGATAACAGATTTATTAGGTGTATGAAGGATTTGAAAGCGATCAACTTGGTCTTGTGTGCAGTTAAGGGTATGAGGGCTAGCATCACTTCCCGGCTGCCCACACAGTGGAAGGGTATTTCTTGAGGGACCTTAAAAAGAAGTTGGATTAGTGTTGGTCTTAACGACCTGGGAGCGTGACCGCAGTGCCCAAGGGACATCTGCTTGAGGCCGGTCACGCACGGCCTTTTTGTGGGGGATTTTTGACGTGTTAGCTCCGTTCTTCAAAAGTCCTTACCGCCGGAGACGGAAATCCTTGGGATAAGGTGAGGTGTGCATTTTTAGGGTCGACCTTTTCTAACCCCACCCCTCCTTGTGGAAAGGCAGCATCGCAGTCATGCTGGTTGTCTGAAGGAAACACCTTACTGCTTTCACACCTCTGTACAGTCAGCAGTACGACTTCGCCTTCGGACCTTGGGATTGCTGCTTTTAGTGCTGCTTCGTGTATCTGGAAGCCCTGACGCTGCTTCCCGTGGCCTCGATGGAGTAGGTATAGCATTAAGTCCTAGGGCAGAACTATCTCTTTTAGACTGGATACCAGTAGACAGTCGTCTATGCGCTGTCCGACTAAACGGATCAGTAAGGACTCGGAAAGATAGGGAAACTCGTCGTTGCCTCTTCGTCATCTCTGCCTACTCTCCCACTGACTGCAGCTCAGATGATATAAAAGATGAGTTTTACAGGAAACTTTCTGACCTCCGAAAAGCTAGGCGTTCTGATGTAGTAATAGTGGTTAGTGACTTTAATGCTCAAGTAGGTAAACTAAGTGAAAGGGAAAGACACCTGGGTGGATCTTATGGTGTCATGGCGAAAAGAACAGATAATGACGACCGTCTGTTGCAGCTGTGCTCAGATAACCGCCTATTTCTTGCAAATACTAACTTTAAGCATAAGGAAAAACATCTTTTGACATGGCGACCCCCGAATTCGTCCCAACGTTGGACCCAATTAGATCACATCGCTATCAGCCACCGATGGAGGGGCTCGGTAGAAGACTCTCGCTCATTCTGGGGCACATGTTTAGACTCAGATCATGTTCTAGTGCGAGCACGTATCTGTCTGCGTCATACTAGACGTAGGAAAGACACTGCAGGGAAACCTCTAAGGGTTCTACTTAATGGTAGGCAAGCTAAGAATATATTTCAGGAACAACTGGAAAAACAGTTAGACAGACATGTAAGTTGTGCCCACCCCGAAGCAGCGTGGAATGACATCCGTAAAGCTGTGGAAACAGCAGTGATATCCGCTAGTAAGGTAAGCCATAAGGTCAGGGAGAAACAATGGATCTCAGCAGCATCTACCACACTGATAGATGCTCGAAAACTCATCCCACCTGGCTCTGAACATAACGAAGAGCGGAGTCAACTTAAGCGCAGGCTTATAAGAAGCCTACGTAATGATCGTGAACAGTGGTGGGTAGCGAAAGCAAAAGAGATGGAAAAGGCAGCGGCAATAGGTAACAGTAGGCAGCTATTCAGACTCGTTAAAGAAACCGGTATTAGGAGCCCGAATATCAGTGAAACCATCTCAGATAAAGATGGGCATACCATTCATTCTCAATCCAGGAGATTGGATCGATGGGCAGAACACTTTAGGGATCAGTTCAACTGGCCTTCAGCCACACTGCAGTTACTCACGATCCCCAGCCGTCCTGAATGGCAAATTGAGGTAAATCCTCCAACTCTCTCCGAGGTTGAAAAAGCTATAGGAAATCTAAATAGCCGCAGGCCCTGACAGGTTGACCCCTGAGATTTTTAAGGATGGTGGTCCAGTACTAGCAGTGAGATTGACTGAGGTCTTAGGTAGGATCTGGGAACTGGACGCAATTCCATCTGACTGGTCCCAATCACTGATTGTGCCAGTCTATAAGAAAGGACAAAAGTCCTCTTGTGACAATCACAGAGGGATCAGTTTGACTAATATAGTGTCTAAAATATTAGCTTCAATAATACTAGGTCGCCTAACCAAAGCTCGTGAAGAGCAGACTAGAGAAAACCAGGCTGGTTTTCGACCTGGATGTGGTTGCATAGACCAGATATTAACTCTACGTCAGGTTCTAGAACATAGACATACATTCAGATGTCCCACAATAGTAGTATTTCTTGACCTTAAGGCGGCATTTGACTCCGTTGATCGTGAGGTTCTATGGCAATGTTTGTCACTGAAAGGAGTACCAAAGAAGTACATTAACCTCATAAAGGCTCTCTACTCGAACACAACTGGTTGAGTTAGAGCCTATGGCGAACTGTCATCACAATTGGTTACCTCAAGTGGCGTTCGTCAGGGCTGTCCACTCTCCCCATTCTTGTTTAACTTTGTAGTTGACATGCTTTTAGAGATATCACTTTCATCATCTCAATCTCCTGGAGTTGAACTTTTACCGGGAGAACTCACTTGTTGACTTATAATACGCCGACGACATAGTTTTACTCGGTGAAGACGCTGACAACATGCAGAGTCTTCTGACCACTATAAGCAACGATGCAGGCATGTTCGGGATGCGATTCTCTCCCTCGAAGTGCAAAATGTTACTTCAGGATTGGGTTGCAGCGACACCTGAACTAATGATAGGGAGTGAAGTAGTTGAGCGTGTAGACCACTTCACTTATCTTGGGAGTCTCATCAGCCCTTGTGGTCTGGTATGTGACGAAATCTCAGCACGGATACAGAAGGCTCGTCTAGCTTTCAGCAATATGCGCCATTTATGGCGTAGGCGATATATCCGTCTAGCAACAAAAGGACGGGTTTACTGTGCAGCAGTTCACTCCGTCCTACTTTATGGCAGTGAAACATGGCCGATAAGAGTAGAGGATATTCGTAGGCTACTAGTATTCGATCATAGGTGTCTTCGAAGCATTGCTCGTATATCCTGGGACCACCGGGTAAGTAATGCAGTTGTTAGGAAACGAGTACTAGGTAGGGATGGCAAATCGATTGATGAAGTAGTGAAACTTCATCAGTTGAGATGGCTGGGACATGTGTTACGTATGCCCGACCACCGACTGCCCGACGTGCAATGTTTCATGGTGTAGGAGTAGGTTGGAAGAAAGCTAGGGGCGGCCAGACCAAAACATGGCACAAATCAATGAAGTCGCTGACAAGTGGACTGGGCTGTGTTGGTAGGTGTAGACTACCTGGTTGGGATTCGCGAGATGATAGCAACCGATGGTTAGAGACCTTGAATGACATGGCTCAAAATCGTTTGCAATGGCGAAGGTGCATACACTCTTTGTGTTCTACCAAATTCTAATCTTCTGAATTCTTCATACCCGTATCCTTTTTCTCTTTCCGAATTTATTTCACTGTACTATACTCCTTCAATAATTTCTTCAAACCCTAATCTTTTGGATTTCTGATTCTACTCTTACTACTTCTACCAATATGGGATTTGAATCGACAACTGCATCTCTGTGCTAACGTGGTATGGCAACTCGAACTGATGTACGTACGTACGAAGTTCTACGTTGTGTCTGACTGACTGATATAGAGACATCTGCCTCACATGATATCAAACACGATATATACAAGCGACCAAATTACGTATAATCAGTGGTATTATTATGTAGAATAGAAATTTGATTAACAATGCATCAAACACTTTTTACTTGTGATTTGCTGCCAATTCATAGATAATCATACTACCAAAATTAGTAATTGAGATAACTAAAATGATAGAGAGAAGTTTCTTTATTTGAACACACAAATATTGGTACAAAGGGTCACCGAATACATATGCGCCGCACAAATCTCATTTGATTTGAGTGAGGGCTGTGATACTGTCCAGGTGCCCAAACCGAAGGTGGTGGTTTTCTTAGGGGGCCACATCTGCAGCCATTGACCTAAAGGTCTGATCCACAAGGCAGTGGAGCATCGTGAGGAGATGCAGTCCCATGGTAAACGGTGACCAACAACTGGTTTATATGCCATTTGTTTCCTCAGGATACTGAAGCCCATGTGCACCACTGGTTAGGAATAAGGGTTTTCCAACTCCTCTAGGTGGACTTTACGTGTCCACCAACCCGGTTAAAGCGCCGGACATTCGTTTTTCGTCCTCTCAATTTCGTAAACAACAGCAATACCACGAGAAGGCAGTGAGTAGGACTTCCCTGACAGCATTTCTAGAGGGAGAGCGGTCTATTCCTACCATCGAAGGGGGAGAATTTAGGGGCAAAACTAGCTGATTAAAAAATCTATGAGGGCAAAAAGGTAACCATTCTTGGACAAAGAATTGTATGGTCAATTTTCACTGCGACTACAATCATTTCTTGATAAGTACCTCAAACCATATGGTCATTGTCTCTTCCAAAGTAGCATAGCTCTTGCGCTTAAAAAAACATCAATCAACAAAAATAAATATAGTTCGGGCAAGTAACATAGCACTCACTTTGGACGTACTGATTATTTTCCTTGAAATCTTGCCATGCAGTGAACCATTTTGAATCTTTGTGCACGACGACACCAGAACTTTCACTAAAAATTTGGAAGTGATTAAGCAAATCAGAAGATAAGCCCAAGATAAACCTATATATAATCTGGATCTGTCAGAGCAGCAGGCTTCGAAATTTAATATAAAAAGATTTTCAAATTAGATTTGTGCGTTTGTATTCGTTTATATCTTTGTAAATAGCTAGTAAGAGACTGGTGGGAACATGTAGTTTCATTTATTACTTGAATGTTTTACTGGATCTCCACTTTCGAAAACTATACGACCATGGGTCACACTACAATATCGGTAAGTAATTGTAGTCACGATGATTTCTAAAATGATTTCAGTATATATATATATATATATATATATATATATATATATATATATATATAGTTTGCTTTAAAGATCTTCTCAAGTTGTAATGCATGTCTTTGTTGGCGATTGACCGGAATTCATATAATTTCCACGGTGCCAGATTTGGCAGCTATTATCATTTTGTCTGCCACAAGTGGCATTGATTCGGGTACTGCTGGGAGATTTATCTAGACTAAAATACAATGTTATCAAGACAATGCAGAGTAATTTGGCCCCCATTGCTTATTTCTCGGCCGGATGAGGCTTGATAAACGACTTGACCAATATTTTTACGCCCTTTTTTTCTTGACCCTCTTCTTATTAATTCTCCACTACATAGGTACTTTAAATGACTACTCACACCTTTTATTACAGTCTTAATTATTATTTTAATAATCTTATTTTTGCCAAGATTTGGAATACTAATTTAAGCTTTTACTGTTATTATCTATACAAGTGCACTTGTCATTTACTACCGATTTGTACCTTTTTACTTATGATTGGTTATGTAATTGAACTCATTGCTATCAATGACCTACAAGTTGCCTAATTTTGTTTACTATTTTTTACATTTGCATATACATATTACTGTCTATTAAAGTTCATTATTAAAGTATATTATAGTTAAAAACAAAACTTCAGACTTATATTTATTGTTCTAATAGAAGATTTAACAGAAGTTTTGCATGAATTATCTTTATATTTTATAGACACGAGCTGTAAAATATGTAAATGTAGCAGAAACAAAACGTACTTCTACATATGTACGAGAAATTATGATAAATACTGACGAGCCTGATAGCATGCTTTACGCTAACACACCTCAGGAAAGAAAAAAAGATTGATAATAACGGCAATACCAGAAGACTGGAAGACAATACAGAAGAACGACGAGCATAGAGTAACACTACTTTCGATATTTAAATGTAATTGGATGGAATATTCCTGATATTTGCAAGATGCCAGCTACTATTGTAGTGACCGAAGACTGAGGTGGAGAAGAACAATTTATTGTTTATTGCACAATCATTGTGCTTTCGTAAAATATGAAAACCATACATTAAATACATCATTTGCAAATCTTTGAACTGTCTCTTACAAGCTTCGTTGTTCCTTTATCTCGATTATCTTGGTTGCTTTTAGTTCCCCTCTCTTCTTTTTAATTCAATCTTCTGAACCTCCTGCTAGCAGATATTTCACTTCCGATTGGTGTTACGTAATACTTATATCTACAAACATAAATAGCTATGCTATTTCACTGCATCTAGGTGTAGTGGGAACTTGGCTTAAAGGTTTATCATAAAAAATTAACACTAATACAATCAGGAACCAAAGCTACAAGGTACTCAGATAAAAACATTCAAAACACTTAAAAATTGATGGGTGAGAAGAGTAACCATTAAGCTTTGATGGAGTTCAAAAGGCACAATGATTCGAATACATAGAAGCTAAATTGATGGGAACTTCATAACAACGAACTAGGTTTAAAAATGATTTGCTTTTTTATTAAGTAATAATGAGAACGTTTATTAAATAATCTACTTTGGATGTATCAGGTTCTACGTTGTGAATGGCTGACTATTTCAGACACATGTTTAGCGTGATGAGAATGAGATCTGGGACGCTTGATATCATGAATTAAATAATGCACGCGTAACTGCTTTTAAAAAACCAAATATGTATATCTCGTGGAAATCCATGTTGAGAGTAATTACCTGAAAGTGATGACTAAGCACAGTTATTAAAGATGTACAAAGTTTGCTAAGCTTCAACTCATATTTTAACCAGGGAATTACGGTATACGTAAAACTATTAGATGCTCGCATCTGTACTGTCCAGAAATATTAGTAAACTTGAAAAACATCAAATTAATGATAAAAGTTCTAACAGCTAAATAAGATATAATCGAACGGGATTTACGGGTGATAATGTAATTTGTGGACGGACTAACTAGATTTAAGATTGAGTCTTGGATTTTGGCGAGGAACTCATGCATATATAGTGAAAATTCCCGTTTTGACATTTGATAAATAAAAAGGAACGAATCGAGCATGCATATATGTTTAAATAACGTTACAACTGACGTCAGTTTGTGATGGAAACCATTATTCTGATTCCAAACCTTAGCTTATAACTCCAACTTTTAGTCTCATTACCCCACACTAGTTTATGACCCTATTTGGACTAATAAGTGGTTGAGGTTTATCATGGATATTGGTATCACTCAAAAGTCCATAAATTGGTCTCGTCAACCGATGGTATAACATTTGACACGCTGAGAGATGATTCTGGTAGTTACAAAAAGGTATCCAGAATGTAGTGTTTATTTAGACGACACTTTAAAAGTGCATAAGTGTTTTGTAGCCAGTAGCATTTCATGTAAATGTCGTAGGGATCTTTATACATGAGTGTCTGTATATGCGCATTTGACCAGACTTACTGAACAAATACGTTGCTCTGATAATATAAACTGTTTAGTAAAAATTTAAAGTTAAAACCCCTAGTGTCAAGAAATAATTAATACACATTGAAAACAAGCTAACAGTTAAATCCTGACATTTTTTCAGTGTGAGACTCACAATAATGACATAAAGCTCACCTATCTGGTTGTATTGCGCGTTCTTCATTCTTGCCAGATATTTCATTTCTTGTTTTTAAAATATCTAAAAGTTCACTAATAATCACTCTCGAATTTTACTTACTTGGAGCTTGATACATTTGAAACCTTTCTGATTCTAATTCCTTCCCAACTACTTCAACACCCTATAAATATAACTCCAAGTAAGATAAGTCACTTTTATAGCAGCCTTGATGAACTCTGTTTCACTTAGTGATTTAGTGGCATCCTTAACATGCTCACCGGCTTTTGATAAATTTTCAACACCCTTTCTCAGTGTTTCGTTTTGAGTGAATTGTTGAGCATCGTTACGGATCCTGCTTTTAACAGACTGAAAAGTGTCTCGCACTTTTCCTACAGTATCAACTGGTATTTCTTTTTCTATCTTTTTCTAAAGTAGGACAGATTCGAGAATTACATAAACTGACATAAAATTCCCGGACAGAGCGCAACTCCTTTGTTTGTTCCAATTTCGCTGTTTCTTCTCGAAACTTTCTGATATTTTCCTTGATAAAAGATAAGTCAGGGGTATTTGGTCTACTTTTAATTCTGTGTCTTTGTTTGATTCTTCCTTAACTTTATCAATGAGACTTTGTATGAAACCCTTGGAATAATACCGATACCTCGCCTACAAATCATTATTCACGAAAAATAGAACTGACCGAACGAAAATGGACGGCTGACCAAGGTTTGTCACTCGCTACATGTCGGTAAAGTAGGCGTGATGTAGAAGACATGGTGACAAACAATTTGACTAGAGCGCTCCTAAACCTCGATGTACAACGCCAGTCTTTAGCAGTAAGAACGGGAGGTCAATCGATCTATATCAATCCTTGATTCTTGTAGTACTGTGAAGGCGAAATCTCGATCTAAATGCATTGACAGAAGTTGCTGATATTGCATATTCTGGTAGAGAAGTCAATTTCGTTTTCAGTTCGAAAAGGATAAGAGTGTAGCTGTAAATAATTCCCCAAAATCAATAGTTCATTAAGTGTTCGACATTGGATGCTGATCATGTTGTTTAAGTGGACTTGTTTAGCTGAAGGCTTTCGGTCATGCATCCGCACCAGATCGCGTTTCGACTCGGCGTGGGACACAGCTCCTACGTTTCATTAGCCAGCTCATAGAAAAGGTCCTCGATATATTGGTAATGAATCAAATATATCTTTCCTGCCTCTTCTCGTCTGACTTCTGATTTCTATCTGACTGGGAACAATCGAATTTAGAAGGTGCTACTGGTATCTAGTTGTAAAACTAGAATATCCGTTGCATCATCATTGGTGAACCCGACGTGATCTGGTACACCAAGTCAATATACTGTGAGTCTGTTCCATTTTGGAATATTATTATTCATTGTTATTCTTTATTTGAATTTTATATATTGTGATATACTTTTTTTCGCGAATTTTTTTTTCTCGGATATATTTTACTTAGACATTTTTCGATATCTATATTACTATGACGGAACACTCTCCTAAGGTTCTTAAGTTTAAGTCTATTCCCCCTATTTCGATTCAGTTAACGCCATTTTGGCCCGACAATATCGAGTCCTGGTTCTGCTATGCAGAAGCTGATTTTTGCATGCACGGAATCACGGACTCGCGCACACGTTTCCTTGCGGTAGTTAAGGCGTTACCGCGCGAGTTTAACAGGTACGTAACACCTAGTATGTTTACTAGTGATGTTCCCGAACCTTACGAAACGCTTAAGCTATCGATTTTAAAACGAGGAGACCTAACTGATCGACAACGGTTAGACCAACTCCTTAACAATATCGACTTGCAACATGGTTATGCGACGGACATGTTGCTTAGAATGAGAGAAGTCATCGGCCAACGAACTTTCGATGATGGCCTATTTAGACAACTTTTTTTGTCTAAACTCCCTCAACAGGTGCAGGCAGTGCTTGTTTCATTTCAAAACAATGCCATAGATGAACTAGCTGCATCTGCCGATCGAATCTTGGAAATCACTAGATCTTCTAAGGCCGAGGTTTTTTCCGTCAAAGAAAAACCCCAATCGACCTCGACTGACATGGCCGAACTATGTCACACGCTTACACGATATCTTAGAGTTCGCAATGACCGTAGTCGGTCAAAAACCCCGCGTAGAAGCGCCTCACGTAAGCGATCTGGCTCTCGACCACGAGAGACAGACAATCCCGACTGGTGCTGGTATCATAACCAGTACGGTAAGTTTTCCAGAAATTGCAGGAAACCTTGCAATTATCCGACATCAAAATCGACTGACACGAATAAGATTTCGGGAAACTTCCCAGCCGGCACGCGTTAACGGCAACCGTAGCCGGCGAACACAGCCGTCTGTTATACGTCACGGATGTGACTACGAAAGTTCGCTACCTCGTCGACACTGGCGCAGAAGTTAGCGTTCTTCCAGCAAATCCCGACGACAGACTTCGCGAGTCTGTTTTAAGTTTACAGGCGGCAAACGGAAAGCCGATCGCTACTTACGGTAAAAGGTACGTCTACCTTAACGTGGGTTTACGCAAACCCATACACTGGATTTTCGTGGTTGCAGATGTCTCTATGCCAATCATTGGTATAGACCTGTTACAACACCACAACCTACTCATCGACACACGCTCACGAAAGTTAATAGACGGAAACACTAAGTTATCTGTTAGCGTAACTCCTTGTTCTGGTTGCAGGTTATCCCCAGTCACAATTAAGCACACCATAGACCCCTTGTACCAATCAGTACTCGACAAATACCCCGGGATATACCAATCGCAATCGAAATTGCCTTGTGTAACCAGCAATGTTACACATCACATCACGACTACAGGACCACCTGTATTTTCGAAAGCTCGAAGACTCGCTCCCGAGAAGCTTAAGTTAGCTAAAAACGAATTCGACCACATGATGGACCTAGGAATAATTCGACCATCGAATAGTCCATGGTCATCCCCATTGCACATGGTCCCTAAAAAGGACAGCAATGATTGGCGGCCAACTGGTGATTATCGACGTCTGAATGCTAAAACCATTCCCGATCGTTACCCGCTGCCTCATATTCACGATTTGACAGCTACCTTGAAAGGTACAACTATCTTTGCGAAAATCGACTTAGTTAACGCTTATAACCAAATCCCGATGGCACCTGGCGACATTCCTAAAACCGCCATCATCACTCCCTTCGGTCTTTACGAATTTCTACGAATGCCTTTTGGTTTAAGAAACGCGGCTCAAACCTTCCAAAGGTTTATAGACGACGTCTTCTGAGGTCTCAACTTCGTACATGCGTATGTTGATGACTGTCTAATAGCAAGTTCGGACAGAGAATCGCATCTCAAGCATCTGGACATTGTTTTCGATCGACTCCAAAGGCATGGCATTACTGTCAACATACAGAAATTCCAAATCGGAACAAACTCCTTAGACTTCCTAGGACACACCATTGATGCCTAAGGCATCCGACCCCTTAGGAGCAAAGTGGCGGCCATTCTGGATTACCCAGAACCGACCACGATCAAGCAGTTACGAACTTTTAACGGACTTGTAAGTTTCCCTAGACGGTTCATACCCAAATGCGCATCCCTTATGAAACCGTTAACCGATCAGCTTCGTGGTAATGCGAAATCAATTAGTTTAGACGACATAGCCCGTAAAGCATTTTCCACAGTTAAGGAACACATCGCTAAAGCAACCTTGCTTACTCATCAGGACACTCAAGCGCCCATTAGTATCGCCGTAGACGCATCCGACTCAGCAATCGGAGCAGTCTTACAACAATGGGTTAACAACTCGTGGCAACCTTTAGGACTTTTTTCGAGACGGTTGCTAGACGCAGAATCTAGGTACAGCACGTTCGGTAGGGAACTCCTAGCTATGTATTGTGCTGTACGGCATTTCCAACATTCCATCGAAGGAAGAGAATTCACGCTTTTTACCGAACACAAACCTCTTACCTTCGCTTTAAGTTCATCTTCAGACAACTACTCACCGCGAGTCTCGACAACTCGACTACATTTCGCAGTTTACTTCAGACATACAACATATTTCTGGAGCTAACAATGTAGTCGCAGCATGAGTTATCCTCGACAACTCTAAAACTAAGTATTAAGCAGATGGGAACAGGTAAGGAAACCTTACTCTGTGACACATCTACAGGTAGGGATCGTCCAATTGTACCAAAACATTATCGCCGCAACGTCTTCAATACGTTGCACAATCTTTCTTATCCAGGTGCTCGTGCAACAATCGAACTTATAGCCGAACGCTTTTGTTGGCCTGGCATGAATAAAGACGTGATGGAGTGGGCACGCTCCTGTGTAAGCTGTCAGAAATCTAAGGTAATCAGACACAACGCTCGTTTCGACCACGTCCATATAGATTTAGTAGGACCCTTACCCGACTCGAACGGATACTCATATCTCCTAACATGCGTAGACCGTTTCACTCGATGGCCAGAAGCAGTACCGATTAAGGACATTAATGCTGAAACCGTGGCCCGTGCTTTCGTCGAAAGATGGATAGCAAATTTCGGCTGCCCTTCCACAATCACTACAGACCGCGGACGCCAATTCGAATCTGGACTTTTCCGTTGTCTGACCCCACTATTAGGAATCACGCGCTTCCGAACGACCGCCTTTCACCCACAAGCAAACGGGTTGGTAGAGCGTTTTCATCGACAACTAAAAGCTTCATTATCAGCTTCAAACGTTTCACAGTGGACAGACGCTCTTCCACTCGTCTTGCTAGGCATCCGCAATGCAGTGAAAGCTGACATTGGATACACGGCATCTCAACTCGTTTACGGAACGACACTCCCAGGAGAATTCGTGGATCCTTCAGCTTCTTCATTGAACATGGATCTAAACTTTTACACGAGTAAGCTTACAAACGCTATGCGTTCAGTTAAACCTGCTCACACTCGACCTCAATCAACTGATGTTTTCGTTCAACCCGAATTACGACATAGTACACACGTCTTCGTTCGTCGAGACTCACATCGACGACCCCTCGAATCAGCATACGAAGGAACCTTCAAAGTTCTTCAACGCGAACCTAAGTGCTATGTAGTCGATAAGAACGGTACGAAAGATAGCATCAGTATCGATCGACTCAAAACTGCGTACCTAGAAGGAAACCCTAGCTACGTCGATTTTACTTCGGTACAAGAAAACGACACAGCCACTACACTCGTAGTACTCTACACGACAACCGACACACAACTTTATACTTCGTCAACAACGATAGGTAAACCTAAAATAACGCGTTCTGGAAGACGAGTAAGATTTCCAGAACATCTTAACGAATATTGCACGTAGGACATAAGCTTTATCTTGAATTACCCTTTCATAGTTTATTATTAAAAAATTTTTTTTTATATGCTCATTTTTTTATTTATATAAAAAAACAAAAAAAACAAAACATTTTTTATCTTTTTTTTGAGCGTATATATATATATTATATATAAAAAAACAAAAAACAACACTTCCTGATCGCTTTTACGCTGTTGGTAAGTGTATCAGTTTATTTTTTTCCCGCTCATCTTGTGTCCCTACGCAAGTACGAGTGTATTTTCGACATGCACTGACACGTTTTATTTTCTCTCTTTTCCAGGATGGCTGGAAAAGAACGACGAAGTTTCGCAAGGAGCCGAAATTTTCATTGTACTATATTTCTTTATTGCTATGTTGTACATTTTGGTCCCATAGTTTAAGGAAAGACGACCAGAGGCTGCTAAACGAAGCAAGCTATCAGAAGAGTGTTTACCAACGACAAACTCGTTGGGTTTAAACTTCTGGCTGGTCACGTCTTAGGGGCATCACTACCTCACTAGGGGGGGGAGTGATCTGTAGCTGTAAATAATTCCCCAAAATCAATAGTTCATTAAGTGTTCGACATTGGATTCTGATCATGTTGTTTAAGTGGACTTGTTTAGCTGAAGGCTTTCGGTCATGCATCCGCACCAGATCACGTTTCGACTCGGCGTGGGACACAGCTCCTACGTTTCATTAGCCAGCTCATAGAAAAGGTCCTCGATATATTGGTAACGA